ATTTACCAGCAGAGTAAGTTCAACTTTTCCTTCAATCTTTTAAAGACTTTTAATTCCTTGAAATTTTCTCTACATGAAAAATGTTCTCAATAAAATAAATATTTTATTTTAAAATTATTTTTTAAAAAAATTTAGTTGCTTTTTATGTCAAGGTTTTTTGGATAGTTAATTTTTTTTTTTCTTTGTAAATCTGAATATTTCTTCACAGTTCCAAATGTATTTTAACTGTAATTTTTAGTAATTCTTGAATCCAATATCACCCCAAACCCGGTTGTAGCCTTAGTTGAAATGGTGATAATTATAAATTAAGGAATGTTAAGAAATGGACAAGGTCCGACAATTTATTTATTAAAGACATTTTTATTTATGTTTAACGTTGTTATTTTATAGATACAAGTATTTAAGCAAATGCTCTGTTTAAGATAAACAGTATTAAATAACATTTACCGGCCTGAATGTCGTTCATAGACAGGAATCGAACCTGCATCCATATGAAAATACGCTGACATGCCTTAACCACTGGGCCACCATGAACCTTATGGTAGACAAGGATACTGTTATAAACCTTCCATGCATCCTATAATGTAAAAACAAATGAAATGGACAAGGTCATTAAAGACATTTTTATTTATGTTTAACGTTGTTATTTTATAGATGACATGCCTTAACCATTTACTCGGCCTGAACCATGAATTTTCATTATGGTAGACAGGGTCGAACCGAATTTACTGTTATAAACTACAATCTTATAAATGAATCTCATGTACATTCATAACTGCTCTGGCGTATCGAATGTAAACAAATGACGTCATATGTTAAGAAATGGACAAGGTCCGACAATTTTATTTATTAAAGACATTTTTATTTATGTTTAACGAATATTTTCTATGAAAATTTCTCGGACATTCAGGCCGGTAAATGTTATTTAATACTGTTTATCTTAAACAGAGCATTTGCTTAAATACTTGTATCTATAAAATAACAACGTTAAACATAAATAAAAATGTCTTTAATAAATAAATTAAGGAATGTATAATTGTTTTCTTCAGTCAACCGGTTGCCAACACTGTGATAACTTGATGAACTGTAAGAGATTGGAGTCTGTGTAAGAGTTCATTTTCAAATTCATTTCTTTTCTCCTTCATTATTTGCAGAGACTATTTTTTTTTTACACTAAGGTTCATTCTGTACAAGACCTGGGAGCCACTCATGGTAGAGAGTTACATTAAGGGATAGTTTATATGGATAGGAGAGGAAGATAAAAATTGACTCTTAACTTGAACAAGTTAAGAATGTTAGTGACTAGGAAACATCTTCTAAGGAGTCTGTTCCATAGGGCAGTAGTCCACAGGGAGAAGCTGTTTGATTAAAACTTACTTCTCACTGATGGAATACAAACTCTTAAGGATATTACTTGAAATTTTCTCTACGTGATAAAAATATTTCCAATAGAATAAATGTTCTATCTTATTTCACTCTTTTGTTTGTCTATTTTCTCGACCAACTGAACACATTCAGTTTCTGTTCATTATGTAACACTGTCTCAGTTTTAAATGACAACCCGCTAACCTAGTAACAACACACCTATGGAAGGTCAAAATATGTTTAACAAAATTTATGGGATTTTTAAAAAAAAAATAGTCATTCAAATATTTCTTAGAATATTTCTCATAATTTCTGATAGTGAACATTTATTTTATTTTGTACTCCCAAAATTTTACAACTACATGAGTAGCTACTTTAAATATTAATCTATTTTGAAATATCTATTCATACAGACTATGGAATGTTGGAACTCATAACTTCCAATCATTATTTTAACAATTAAACTAAATCTAAAGCATACACTGGCTATCAATTAAGAAACATCAAATCAATCAGTTTCTAGTAATCTATTTTACTATTAAACTGTACCAAATAACAGAAACCACATCACTTGAGGACTACCAACAGCAGCAATAACTAAAATGGATAGCACATGTAAATTGAAGCAGAAATACTTCAAATAAAGTTTAGGAAGGATAGCCCCATTAATACTGAAAAGAACAATAACAGCTACTGGACTTGAGAAACCTATTTTTCCTGACAAACATTTTGTAAATTTCAACCAAAAGTAGTACTAGCTGTTCAATCAATGAATGCCAAAGATTTCCTTGTAGGGAAATGGTTAATACTACCATTACTATTACTAAGTCAGGTTGTCTTTTGGAGATTACTGTTCATAATTAAGTTAAAATTATTAGTTTGATGATGACAAAAGATGGCAATTGGCATTGTATTTAAATTTTTGAAGATTTCAGGTGACAGAGAAGCAAGAAATCAGAAGGGAATTTCACAGGCAAGAAGTGCAAGAAAAGAAACTGTTAAAATAGTACAGATGCTGATATCTAGCTAGTTCAACATTAAAATGGTGTGACTCAGTTGCTAATCTAGAAGCTTGCTTCAATTTTTGTATACATGGCACTAACAAGAACAACTCATCAGAATCATTGCCATGAAAATATTCATAGAAAAAAACAGAGAGAAGTCACATCACGATGGTGAGAAAGTGACAGAAGTCAAGATGATAAGTCAGGATTAATTATATTACAGACCCTTTGAATTTTGTCAAGAATCTCGAGATATATAGTAGGAGCCCCAAACCAGATATGACGGCTATATGGGAGGCAGACACCTGGAAAATATCCATTTTTGTAAATCCAAAGTGACTAATGCAGGCTTAATGAAGAAAGAAAATTGTTTAATAAGAAGGTGAAACTTTCTATTGAGAAATTTAGATAGTTTTCATTGGCCACCCAAAAGACGCCAGTTTTCCTTTGATAATAGCAGAAATGTCAAATTAGAGATAAAAATAGTTTTGTTTGCAGCAGCAAAGAAATTAAAGAAAAAACCTGGCTACGTTAAACTACTAACCAGTCTGGGATAGGTTCATTATGATCAAAAGACACACAATTGAATTCATTTGCGAAAGCATTTGGACTTTTGTTTTTAGACACATTTCATTTGAAAAAAATACCTGTAATTGCAAAATGAAAAGTAAGTACATCTCAGAAGTTGAAACAAGATTAGGATGACAAAATATGCTATGTTAGTGGATGTTAGTACATATTGACAGCAAGAGATAGTTCTCTCGAATTATACTCATCCACAAAGCATTTTGAAAGAACAATATCTATAAAAATATCTTTATCAGATTTTAAAACTATTGAAGTCAATTTCTAAAATGTTTGTAATTCTCAACAGAACAGGAATCAATGTTTGTTCATTGAGTATAAATTTCTTTGGTACTAGTAGAAAAACATCACCAAAAAGTTTCTATTTTTTAATTTCTAGGAGTTGTTATTTACTTGGACAATTGTCTTCATCTTTGTTGTTATTATCACAACATTTTAACTGTTGTGATCTCAGATCTTCTTGTATGTGCTTGTTGAGTCAGGTAACCTTCAAAGAATTTCAAACACAAGTAGATTTTTCTAATTCTGCTGACCCTATCTAGGAATATCTCATGTAGTTCTTATTTAGTACTGCTCAGTTTTGTTTCATTTTTTTATCATCTCACCCCAAGCAAAGCAACAAAGCCACTAAAACACAAGGGGTTTCTGAGTGTGAATGAATATAAGAAAAAGAAAAACATTATTAAGGAGCAGGAACAATTAAAGAACAGAAATTAAGAAGAGAGAAGATAATGATTGATATATTTAAATTTTTGAAGATCAAAATTAACTGGAAAGCCAAACGCTAGAAGCGAGTTCTCCAAACAAGTGTATGAAAATAAACTGTAAATTTATAGTTGCCTAACCAGTTTGACAGTAAAATGATGAGATCTTGCTGCCAATCTGGTACTGCACTTAAATTCATGGAGTCTAAGTACCATAGAGGAAAGTAATATTTATTTTGAGTAACACAAAAATGTGGCACAAGACCAAAATAGGTGGGGATAGGAGAAAGCTGGTCTTCAATCTGTCTTATCTTAAAACTTAGCTATCCACAATTACTGATCCAAACATATTACAGTATTCCTTACACCAAAGCAACACATTCTTACTTACCATTCTTATGACTGCCATCATAATACCTCAAAGTCTCTATGTAGTCCCATATGTACAATTTGTCTGTGGGGGTGGGGATTAAAAATAACAACATTTAAAAATGAAACCCCAATAAATGCCATAGAGGAAAGTTAATCAGAATAATTACCATGAAAATATTCATAGAAAAGGCTCAGGAAAGCTACATTATAATGGTGGGAAAATGACTGAAGCTGAGTTGTCAGGACCAATCAGATATTGCTCATCTTATTTCCATTGAGTTTAAGTCTGCCTGATGATTGCATTCACAATTAATATGTCACCAAATTCACAAACCAAAGTTAAACAAATAAATACAACTGAAGTCCAAATAAATTCACATAAGAATATCTTTGGAGAAAATTATTGTAAAGTTTCCTTTAAATTTTAAGAGAGAATTATATAGGAAATGAATTTGAATGATTTGACATTGTATAACAAAGATTTTTTAAGAGAGAATTACATAGGAAATGAATTTGAAATGATTTAACAATGTATAACAAAGATTTATTAAGAGAGAATTATATAGGAAATGAATTTGAAATGATTTGACATTGTATAACAAAGACAATACTGAAGTATTTTGCCTGTTTCATGAAGATGCCTTCATTCAAATAGTAAAGTTTAATCTTCTATGACCACTTTATTCAATTCTTTCTACTACAAGGTAGTTTTTCTAAAAACTAAGTTATAAAATATATTGATTAAAGGGACACCAGAATTTTGTCTTAATTCCTTTAAGAAGGTTTCTTACATAGGATTAGATATATTTATCACAATTTATATTAAAATCAAGCATATATTATGCATGCATCCTGTTTTGGTATTTCTTTATACAATTTTTGTTTTGCTTACAAACCTTCGCAATTTAAGATCAACATAATAATTTAACTAAATTATCAGTTTCTAAAAAATAGTTTCTTTTTTTTAGCTTACAACCATATCATGTTGAAACACTGGTTCTCACATAATCACCAATCACCAAAGTTAAGCAACATTGAGCCTGGTCAGTACCTATATGTGTGACTGCCTGGGAATACCAGGTGCTATAGGCATGGATAATGGATAACAGCTTGGAGTTGGAAATTGGAGAGCTGAGTTCCAATTCCAGATCGGTTTGTTATATTTACTTACGTGCAAATACCCTTGGGAAAGGTATGAATCAGCCTCTTGTCCTGCCCCAGCTGTGCCTTAATTATCAGTAAAATCATTATTATACCCCCAAAATTCTTACAATCTAAAATCAAATTCTTGTTACAAAAGGCAAAATCCATAAAAGACAATTTATTCCACAGTTATGTGTTAAATAATAAGGTAGACTGGATTCTCAATTCTTGGGTGGTAACCCGTCTAAGATAAGCAAGAAATGTGAATTTCAAATTGTGGAAAATGTTGTGGCATATGTGTTAATATTAAAATGTTGCCAGTGTGGATAGATGGTAGGATAATTATTTTATTGGAAATTTTGGGAATAAGACAAACTAACTCAATTTAAAATAAATAATATATTTTTATTTATTTTCTTAAGATTGATGAGTCCTTTTGTAATTGGTGTAAATAAAAAGTTTGTTAATCAAGCAGATATAGGTAGCAGTCTGGAGAAATGGCCATTAGTGGTTGTTTAGAAGACCATGATAGGGCTAGTAATAATGGGAAAAATGAGGTCAGTGTCAATCTACTGTGTTCTTTTCAGCTCTGAAAGACAGCAGAAATGTCAGTAGCAGATGACCTCTTGACTCTTTTATCACGTCAGGCATGGCTGCATTCTTTTGTTCCATCCTTGCCTGCTGTCATTCTGGTCCTAGAGGTGTCAGGATTTTATCCGTTTGACCAGGCTTGAGAATTTGGCACAAACATCAAAAACCCCTATGTGTTGATTTTTTTGACTCCACTATCTTTCTCAAGAATACATAGTAATTCACAGATAATAAAGAAAAGGACTATGGAGTCATGATTGCCTACATACTGAAAGGACAAGAAATTTAAAAAGAAATGTAATTTTAAACTCATAATTTTCCCTTACAATATTTAATCTAAAATAAAAGAATGCTAATATATTTCTTAAAAAGTGCAAGAATATAAAAATGTTTGATGTCAAATATTTTAAAATGTACCAATGTTCATATCGCCATACTGTGTGACAAGATAAATTCTAAGTAATATTATTTTGCAAGATATTTTAATGATAGAGGCTCTCTCTCTAACTTTTTTCCTCCTTTTCCTGAGAATTCACAGCTGAAGCAGAGAAATTATTGCAGATAAAAGAAAGAAATCGGTGAAATGCATCTGTTAAACTGTCATGTGTCACTAACTAAATAGCTTGCTAGAAGGAATGAGAAAACAATGAAAGAATTATGCAGATGCATCAAGAGGTTCAATGAAAATATTTTTGATATGAAAATATAGACAGATATAATGCATTCGTTTGGAAGTGAAAGAAGAAATCAGTAAAAAAAAGAGATGAATTCAGCTTTCAGACTGAGATGTCTTCCAAGCAGTTTTCTTACTAATTTGTAACAATTATAAATATGTTCTTTTAATCTGTTGTTTTTTTGGGGTTTTTTTTGGGGGAGGGTTGGCAATTTCAAAGGACATATGTTTCAAATATTTCTCCTAATATTTTTATGGTTGCAACTCACAGGAAATGTGCATTTACAATATTTAAAAGGAATATTTGATTTAAATATTTATTTAAATATCCACATTAGATTTAAATATTAATTTAAATGTTTACTTTAAATACTTAAATATTTATTTAAATATCCATATTAGATTTAAATATTAATTTAAATATTCACTTTAAATTTGAATATTTATTTAAATATTTAATTTAAATTTATATTATTCCACAAAATCACACTCAAGCTCTTGTGAATATCTGGTAAACAGAGTGTACTTAGAAAATTATACTTTTAATTCCAGCATGACTAATCATATTTAAATATTAAATACAATGTCTGTTCAGAAAATATCAATCTGTATTAACTATCCAAAGAAATATCTTTTATATCCAGAAAATATCCAGCCATAGGAAATATCTTTTATATTCAGGAAATATCCAGCCTATTAAATATCCTAAGAAATATCCGTTATATCCAGAAAATATCCAGCCATATTTAATATCCTAAGAGCAAGTTATGCAGCTTTTATATAACTACACATGCATGAACTCTCCTGTGGTGTTACTCAGTCATCTGTTAGACACTATTGAGTGAGCCTTTGTATTATATGGTCCTTGAGTTCATAGTCAGTAGGCATCAAGTTTCGCTTGAGTATATGGAAACCTATTAAAAGAGAAGCCCAGATAATGAATCATTATCAATGCAACAAACTTGGTTAAGAATTCATTTGTAGTGATCCACATTCTGGAAAATACTCCACAAGTGGAACACACAAAAATGTCCTGCATGTGTAGGCTACTATCAAAGGAAATTGGTGATTGACAGTGCAAGAATTCTATAGATTGTTCAGAAATTATTAAGCTTTTTTGAATGTCTGTCCATTCTTCAAGTTTTATGTAAATTTTTTTACATAAAACTGTTTACCATCCAGGTTTCACAGGATATCCAAAATATCTAGATTAAGCTCAGTTCAAGTTCTGACTTTTCAGTTATTAAGGAAAGAGAACAATAAAAGAACAAGAATTAAGATGACAGAAAATAACTATTGACATTAGATTTAAATTTTTGATGGTCAAAGTTGATTGGAAAGCAAGAAACTAGAAAAGAGTTCCACAAGTGAGAAGTGTGAGAAAAGAAACTGTTAACATAGAACTTATGATAACATTTAGCCATTTCAATTGTACAATGAGGAAACCTAGCTGCCAATCTAGTCTTCTTTAGAAACACCTTTTTAAATTCACAAAGAAACTTTTTATTTTTACAAGACTGTCTTAGCTATGTTAAGTGCCATAAGAATTAGCATCTACTATCATCGTGCTCCTATATGGCAGTGAATGCAGTTCTACAGAAGAATGCTGAGAATGCCATGGTCTGAATACATGAACAATGACAATGTTTTAGAGAAAATGGAAACAAAAAGATAACATGTAGAATTAGAAAGAGTCATCTGAATTTTCTAAGTCACATAAGAAAAGAGGGCTTGAAAAGTTTGACACTCACATTGAAGGCAAGAGAGACAGAGGAAAGCACTGTATAACCTCCCTAACAAAATTGTGTAAATGGTTGGCAGAACTGGGATGAGAAGAGATAGCAAAAAATAAATTTTACTAAGGATAGAAAATTGTGGAGAGCCATGATCACCCATGTCCTGAAGATGAAGCATGATTCTTTGGTGATAATTCACTTAATTAGAAAAATCAATAGAATCTCTTAAAATTTTAACATCATGGTTATTATAGAGAATTATACTGGTTGTGTTATTGCTGAGAATTTAATTTTACTGGTTTTCAAAATTTAAAACTCCAGTACAATGAAGAGAATGTGGATGTAAAAATATATAAAGAAATTGTTAATGATGATTAATTTTATTGTCATGTTTTTCAGCAAAGCAGCAATTCCACAAATTCAAATTAAATGATGCAGTGCACATTGCTTTATGCAAGGAATTTTACACCCTTTTGAACAAAGAAAAAGGATTACTTTATCTATGTTGTGTACTAGTTCAGAGGCAGATGTTATCAATTACATTCATCAGTTGCTGAATTATGCCAAAAAGTTAAAGAGTCAAATACTGTTTGTAATAGATAGATCATTCTGCACACACATTCTAACAACGATCAACTCCTTGTTCAATCTTGTTCGCTTCTTTTATCTTCCTTTCAAGCAATAAGACCATAATACTGATTATATGCCAGCAGTAAGGACTACATCCGCAGCTGTATCAAATTCTTTCTGGATGGCTGAACAATTAGGAAACCAATCTAACAAGAGATGAGTTTATTGACAAAAAAGAAGCATCTGCTACCAACATTGGCGGAAGGCAGTCTTGAAAAGCAACTATTCCATTTTGTTAGCAGGCCTGAAAATTTGTTCAGTTATTAAAGTTTTTTGAAAAGAAAACCAATAATCAAGCTATGAGGTGAACCACAAGCAACAAATGGCAATGCAGAATTTTTCATGATCATTTTTTTTTTCTTTTTTACTATTTGATCATAAAATAGGCCCAAGAGCCACTGAACGTAGCGGATTACTGAACGAGTTTGTTGTATGAATTAAGAGGAGGAGGCAAGAAATTTGAATTATGAGGATAGGTAGGAAAGATAACAGTTGACTGTAGGACTGAAGGGGTTAAGATTGAGGTGATTGATGAAGCATCCACTCAGGAGTCTATTCCATAATGTAGCAGACCTTGAGAAGAATGTATCTGAATGGAATTTTGTCCTTATCTTTTATCTATAATTCTCAAAATGTGTGTGGGTATATGTGTGTGTGTGTGTGTGTGTGTGTGTGTGTGTGTGTGTGACTAGATGTTGTTTATGCATTTACAGAGTTTTCATCCGATTTCAATGAAATTATTTCTGTTTAATAGATAATTCTTGATTGCCACTTTGGAGTCCAAATTGGCTGGAAAAAATTACAACCTTGAAGGGGAAAAATCGAAAAAAAAAAAAAAGATTTTTTTCACAATAATGAAACACCTGGTCGAAGGTGTGGAGTGGATAGAGGAAAGTATCAAAAGGAACAGGGTTCAAGAAAATGGAATATGGCAATTGATGTTGCACTTAAAGTTTTGAAGATTGTAGTTATCAGGGAAGCAAGAAATTGGAAGTTAGTTCAACAGGTGGGAGGTGTGAGAAAAGAAACTTAGAGTAGGAGTGGCAGTTGAATCTAGCTAGTTCAACAGTAAAACAGTGTGACCTATTTGCCAGTCTAGTAACATGTTTAAATTCCTGTAGTCGGAGCACCAGGGAAAAAAAAAGCTCAGCAGAACGGATTCCATGACAGAGGGAAGCCATGTCATATTTGTGAGAAAGTGACTGAAGTTGAAATGCTTGGTCATGATCAATTACATTACAGACTCTTCTTTTGATTTTGTCAAAGAAAGAAGTGTTAAACTGTCAGTGAAATGAAAAAAGTTGTCAATTTCAAA